ACTAATTTCTCTTAATTCATTGAAAAGAAAGGTTTGTGGTAATATTGATTGGACAATTAAATGTCAGTGATAGGTTATGGCCCTAGTATGAATTGCTGAATTAGTATGGTGATCATCCAATATGGCTGAAGCCCTTAAAACAACAGCTTATCTTCCCAGAGATCACTCCCCCCCCCTTCTTCTCCAACTCAGCCCAGGGTGACATTTCCTTTTACCTTTCCCACCACCTCAGGGAAGGCCCCAATCAGCTCCCTTATCTAAACATCCCCCTCAAACCCCACCCCCGGCAAAAGGCCATAAAAGCCTCAGCCTCCCTTTGTTCCAATCCAGAGAATTCCTCATCTTCCCAAATTCTCTCCGTGTCCTCCAAGATAATGAAGCCCCTTTCCCATTATAATAAAGTCCCTTTCCCTTTTTCCTTCTGCTTGTTTCTCTGCTGTGGCTCCAGTCAAAAACCTATCAGCCAGTATTACATACTAAGTAACTAATTTAAAGACAACAATATGCAATTTATTAATCATTGTTACACTCCTATTTGTTTTGAAATTTTGGGTTTTTTTCACTTTAAACTAAAAAAGCACTCACCATCAATTTCAAAGATCTGAATGGGCCAGGTCTTTTAAAATTAATAATTTTTTGTTAATTTCCAAGTCTGAATTGTATGGTCCAGCTGATACAGCACTACTAGATGGTTGTTTAAATATTACGGACGGGTCTTCTCAGGTAGAAGGTTTTCCCTCTCAGCTTTTACATCCACTGAGAGAACCAAACCCAGATTTTCATCTTAGGATGAAGAAATGTACAAACTCAAATGAGGCCAGATATTTGAGTAATTCAGTCATCCAAGTACTGCTCTATATAAAGGAAACATTCTGAAAACCATTAGAAACTGAAATCCAAGTTTATAAAGCTGTACCACCAACAAAAGGTTCCTAATGTTGAGCTTAAGATTAAAAGTAAAGTAGAAAAGCCGGCAGATAAAGTTTAAATATAAGCCCCCGACCTAAGGCAGGTAATCAAAGCCAGTACCATGTGCTCTTCCATAGAACTACATACATACCATGTGCTCTTCCATAGAACTACATACATCCCCAGACCTAATTAATCCCCAGACTAATTAAAATGTAGCCTTTCAGTGATAACATTTTCCTAAGTTTAAATATGTGGTGCAGGGGCTGGAGAGATGGCTCAGTGGTCTAAAGTACCTACTTGAAACAAGCTTGGCAAAGCACAGGGACCGCGGTTCGATCCCCAGCACCACATGCCAGCCAGACCCGCCCCCTGGTGGGCTGAGCTGGCCACACACACACACAATAAATAAATGTAATAAATAAAAATAAATAAATATTTAAAAAAATAAATAAATAAATATGTGGTGCAGCTGACATAACACTATCAGATAATAAAATACCTTTGAGATTCTGTTTCCTCCTCTATCAAGGAATTTGGTGTTGCCAAATTATTTAATATTGCCAAAAATAAACACAAAATTGTTTTTTTCCATAATTTTATTGAGAAACAAATAGCAATGAGACAGTTTCAAACCAAATTGGAAGGACAGTTTCAATAATTAACACATTGCATACATTCTTCCTAGTGGTTAATTGCTGTACAAGATGCAGACATGATATCCTATTTACAAACACCATTAGAACAAATCCATCTATTCATTAAGAGAATATAACTATATATCTATTCTAACCAATTTGAATACACAGATACAAAATGGACATTCATCTGTATCCCCTTTTTTTGTTAAGTTCTGTTATTTGAATATTATAGGTGTGTAAACTCAGCAAAATATTCTAAAGAGTCCAGTAGCCCATACTAGTATTGGGTCTTCCACATGACTGGCAATGTCAGAAATTGTCGACCTGAGTCCCCTACAGCTTAACATAACACCATGGCTTTACTTCTTATATTTCGTTTTTACACTTTTCTGCTGGATGGTTAAGACCAAGGTAAAGCAGGACCTATGCAACAAGAGTTAATAAACATAAAATTGTAACATCTAAGATTACCTAATTCTGAGTAAACAGACTTTTCTACTCAGAAAGCAACTTAACACTTTAATCTTTTACATTTTTGAACCAAAGATAAAAATTCCATAAAGAATTTCCCTTACATGTGGATTCACTTGTTCTTAAATGCAAATTATTACTTAACATAAATTTATTACATGAAAAAGTCATCTCCTTGCCCATAAAAAATAAAGTACTATATTAGCATACCTACTAAGATCTAGAGTAAAGAAGATAACCACCAAAGTTTTCAAAATGGAAGGAGAGAAAAGGTAAAATTTTAACCAACGTGCTCAAGAAAACAAATTTTCCTTTCCATGTCTTTACAAATTCCTTCCAGCCAATTTCTCAGATATAGCTGAATTTTCTATTACAAAGTACACTGAAATGTAAATCATAATGAAAGGTTAACTTTCTGGAAGAGAAGCCACTGTCATTTTGAACAATGCAACTATTGTTGAGAGTCTCTCATAGATTCTTGGCCATGGTGGTAAAACAAGGCTAGGGGGAAAACAGCTACTTAAAGGAATTTCTCCACCTCTCTATTTTGGGTTGTAATATAAGAATAGTGCAACATTCACTACATAAAAAAAACACATAAGGTCTGGTTCTTATTAAATGAAACTGCCTTATCCCCCCCCCCCATGTAGCATATTTGGAACAGAATACATCTGACTTGCAATCAGTCAATCTTCTCTTACTCATCTACGTGACATAGCCTTGCAATTTCCAATTTCTTTCAGTGGGAACCTTTCCTTTTAAAACCCCAGGGAACACTGTAGATGCCACACTGATGTGAATAACTCCCAAGAACACTACAATTTAAACAATGGCAGATTTAGGTAAGAAACTTACATAAGTAGAAATAAATCCCAATGAAAGAGTAAAAAAAAAAATCCGTACCACAAGTCCCTAATCATGAATAAAACTGTTAAGACTGAACAGAAAAAAAAGTAATGCTCTGTGGAGAAAGAATATTTCTATTTTTTTTTATAAAACAAATTTTGTTCTCAAAAAATTCAGCTTAGGAAATACGCTAATTAGGATACTAAGCTGTTTTCTATTTATCTATATATCAAATTAGCCATTGCACTGATTATGCTAAAAGGGCAGGACAATTCAAAGGGATTTATACCCTTTCCAATTGAGGACACCCCAGGCCCAACTACTGTGAAATGCCAGATTATTTAACACTCTTGGAATGGTTAACTTTATTTAATCTGCCTCTTTTGGAATTCTATTATTTAATACAGTCAAATGGAATTTTTTTCTCCTAACTAGGTTTCCTTGTACTTGTGAAATGCTCAACATACAGGGCTGGCAGCTTCAGTTCTACAGCTTCTCTCATCTGACTCCTCCCATCACCCCCCAGTATCCCCCCCTAAAAAAAGATTTCCTTCCCAAATGTTCTCCTCTCTGCATTTGTCAACAGAAACACCCACTGGTGATGTCAAACTGGTAATACTGCTGCAGGCTTCTACTCGGGCTCCAGTGTCAACGCCAAAAATGCTCAAACCTAAAATAGTACTTGTAATAAAAATAAATCAAAACAAAAAAGGGCTTGGTAGGTACTGAAATATATGCTCAAATAGAGGTACACCTTTTAAAATTGTATTATTAATGAACCTAATTGAGTTGTTAAATATAAGATTATCTCTTTCCTTCAACACCAAAAACACACAGGGACAAGTACACATAGCCTCTTCACATTTTATGAATAACCTATTTTAAAACGCTTACAGGAATTAAAAACACCTAAATGCCATTCACGTCTAATTCCGAACACTATCAGTTAAAATGTCTTTTTTGTAACCCTACAGCAAGAACGAGCAAGGTGGAAATGTTCCAACAGATGTACCTAAAACGCTAATCCTGTATTATACATATTTATGGGTCCTGTTTCAGCCCAACGCTCTCAGACAAATTAATTTGTGTAATCTTTTACATTAACTAATAACCATTACACCCAAACCTAATTCAGGATTTGCACGAAAGAAATTATTCTGTGTCAACAATACTTTCTAAAATCAGCTTGAATTTCAGCCAATTAAAATAAATTGTTAACAAAATACTGATCTGCAACAACTTAAATATCACAGCATCCGTCCAGTCTCTGTAGAGATACTAAGGTCAGGTTTTTCTTATTCAGGCATCTGTGCTGTAATACTCAAGTGAAGCAAAAAACAAAACCCTCAAGGAAGAGCTGCCTCTACACTGAAATATGTTCAGGGTATTTTTTACCCCAACGTGGGCACAAAACGTGTCAATGCGAGAAGGACCTGCTCGTTCTGGAAGACGGTTTCGACCCCCAGGACTCGATTTCTGTAAGGGTCCAAAGGGTATGAAAACCTGAGAAGGGGCCAGTTTCTGCTTCTCCTCACCAATGCCAGTCGTGAACTTCACAGCAACGCCCGAAACTTGTTCGGGGAAAGCTGCAGGAGCCGCGGCGCTGGGCGACAAGTCGCTCGCCCACCCTTGCGGGCAGCCAAGGTCAGAAGGGCCAGGGCTGCCACTTGAAGCCCCCAGCGGGTCCGGAGCTGTCCCGAAACTCGGAACTCGGGCGGCGGTTCCCGCGCTCCAGCCCCTCCTCAGTGCCGGCAGAAAGGGACTCCCCTCGCCGCAAGCTCCGGGGAGTCGCGCCGTGAGGGCGACGGGGCGGGGACGCCGCAGCCCCATCGCCGAGGGGAACCCCACGGAGTGGCCTCGACCCGTCGTCCCTCTTCCACACTCCACCTCTTCACACCCTGACACAGCCCAGCCTCCAGGGAACCCCTTGTGAAGACGCACCGGCTGGCCGTGGCGGGGCCGCTCCAGGTTGGGACGCCCTCGCCGCGTCGCCCCTTTCAGGAGGGACCGGCGTCGCCGCCCCTCTCTTGTTCGCCCGAGGGGACCGGGTGGGTCCCCTCTCCCGGGAACAGCTGGGTGGACACAGGACGGATGTGAGGGGAAGAAGGCCTGCGGGCGGGCGCGGCTACTCACCCCGCCGAGTCCCCCACCTCCAGCCGGGGACCCCTCAGCTCCAGAGTCCGCCGTCGCTGCTCTACCTTCCCCAACGGCAGCGACAACTAATCGAAACCTCCGGCCCCGCCCTCTCGCAGGAGCGAACGCGCAGCCTAATTTGCTAATTGTACCGCCCCGGCTTGCCCATTCAGACCAATAGAAAAGCTCCTGCGGCCCCGCCCGGTCCCGCCTCAGCCCCGCCCACTTACGGTAGGAGCCAATGCTAAGAGAACGCTCGTCCATGCACTCGGGCTCGCGCGCCCCGCCCGCGCCGCTCGTTCTCGAATCCCCGAACTCCAAGAATGCTGGTCTCCGGTACAAGCGCGCCTGTGCGCGCACACGCGCGCCGCGCCTCCTCGCACACCAGGTTTGGTTGCCCCGCCAGACCCTAGCAACCTGGGCTGGGAGGGTGGAAGGGGCGGGGCCGGGCCGAGAGCTGACGCGGGGGGAGGGGCAGGGAAAGATCGTGACTGAGAAGGGGGTGGCTGCGGGGGTGGGGAGGGGGAACGAGGAGGCCCCGGAATCCGCCTGTCACTGCGGAAAAAAAGGGGGGGAATCCTGCCTGCATCGCAGCTATCCTAGCCTCCCTCTGGAGAGACCCATGTGGCGTGGAGGGAGGGGGCGGCGAGGACCGGGAAAAACGAGAAAGCATGTTTAAGGCGTGAACCGTGTACTGCTTGCAAATAAAGGATGGAGGATGGTTTTATCTCTGTCGTTGGTAAAATGGTATCGAAGTCCATTGCTGCAGCTACCTAACTGTTGGGGCTTCGCTTGCAAAGCACATGCACGCACACACACACAGTCTCAGAAACACTCATCCAGCAGCCTGCGATCCCTTGGGTGACTTAGGAGCAAAAAACTAGCAGCCTGAGGATTCCTTACACAGCAACTGAGTGCATGCAAACGGCTGCTGCAGCAATCCACAGCTCTACTTTGGTCGGATGCTCTGCACACGAGATCCCCCGGCTGGCGCTGGTGAGAAAGCAATGAAGTCATCGTCCGGCCGGTAGAAATGTGAAGCTCTTAATAGGACCGCTTTGCGATCGGGATGGAGAGGTGACGAAATGGGAGGAAATACATTTTCAGTGGCACTTTTGGAAAATCAAGAAAAATAGTAATTTAATGCAAAAGCATTGCAAACAAATCTGTATAGAGCTGTATAAATAACGATTTCCACTTTTTTTAAAAAGAGCAAAGAGAAAAAATAGTGTTCTATGAATTTTTAGAGAAAGCACAGAAAATAGGCAATGCATGAGGTCCTAGCAGCCACCCAATTAGAAATCTGCAATATTGTAATAGGAATTAGATATCTTGGATAAAATCCACTTAATCTATTGCTACCTTGAATCTGGTAACAGTATGTAGCAATGCGCTGAGTTTGGTCACTTAATGCCAAACCAATAAGGTTTTCTTTCTTATAACAGTGAATATTTGGTGAGGAAATGAAGGTACCTGCTTTCTCTTCACCTTTCCCGGAATTGTTAGAAAATTATACAGGTAGGAGTGGTGAATTATCAGGGAGGGAAAATGGAGTCACAGGCAATAGCAAAGGGCTTTGCAGAGGTTCTACCTCCAGTGATGCAAAGTCACCCACATGGAGCCAGAAATCCTGGGACAATCACTCCATTTCCACTGCTGTTAGTACCTTCATACTAGAAATGTCAGCAGCACTGCCTTTGACCAAGTGAAGAATTGTTTATCCGGATAACCTCAGAGCAGACAAGGCAAAACTGATGCTCAAATAGCCAGTGATGTAAGTTCAATGTACTTTTAAGTAGTAATATTCGATGTTTTGTAATATGACATTCCAGATGTACAAATATGTCCTGCTATTTAGAGACCTTTGCTCTCATCTGTCTTTGAGTAGTGGGGTAGATTTTCCTGGAGCCATTTCCAGTTCAGTTAATTCCTCTTCTCAGAAAAATAATTGTAGAAGGTTAGTAAGAGTTGTAAATATATATATATATATTTTTTTTTATAATTTTTTTTTCCCAGAACCAGGGATTGAACTCAGACCCTTGCGCTTGCCAGGGAAGCACTTATTCCACTGAGCCATCTCCCCGGCCCCAAGGAAGAATTCTGATCATTGTCCAAAAAAGAAAAAATGTATTGCCAAGCATGGTGCCACATGCCTCTAGTGCCAGCACTCAGGAGGCTGAGGCAGGAGGATCCCTAGGAGTTCAAGGCCATCCTTGGCTACATAGTGAATTCAAGACCAACCTGCACTACAAAGCAAGACCCTGGCTCAAAAAATTATAAATGGCCTTCTGAGCCTAGACTTCCTCATGCAATGAGGATTATAGAAGAAAAGCAAAAATCCAAACCAATGTGTAAATCTATATTATTCACAGAAAGAAGTAAGCATATTTATACTATTACCTGTTGTTTATTTGAAATTCAAATTTAACTAGACACCCTCTATTTTTGTTTCATTGTTTGAGACAAGGCCTCAATATGTAGTTCAGGCTACTCTTGAACTCCTAGCAATCTTCCTTCCTCAGCTTCCCAAGTGCTGAGGTTATAGGCATACACACCAATATCCTCACTTTTCATTTGTTAAATCTGACAACCTGAAAATTTTACATATGTTCTCTTGAATCCTCACAACTCTGCAAGATTCTTTCTATTTTCCAGCTAAAGAACCAGCTGTGGGCTGGCCAAATAGCTCAGCAGATTAAAGCGCCTGCAGGCAGGCCTAGGGCCCAAGGGTTGGATCCCTGGGTTTACCATGCCGGCCCTGCCCCTCAGGGCTTGCTGAGAGGACAATTGAGACTGGATGTGATGGCGCAGCTCCTGTAATCCTAGCACTTGGGAGGCTGTAAACAGGCGGGTCACTAGGAATCTGATCTAATAGTGAAACTCTGAACATCCTGCAGACCCTGCCCTAGAATACAAAAACAAACAAACAGCTGCAGAGCCTCCTCAGCATCTGTATGTTTCCTCCCCCTTCTCATAGAACCCCCAATGTGTTCAGGGATCCAGCCACTTCACACTTCAGGGGCTGTGTCCTCGTTAAGTCTCAGTCAGCCCAGATGTACCTTGAATAGACTGAAGGAAAGAACTTAATCTGTTGCCCATGGTTTGGGAGATTATTTTCACTGTCTATTCCTCTGGATGAACAAGGAAGCAAGTACCCCAACTGCCATCAGCAGCTATTTTGTGACCAAGAAGAAAACTAAACTTATGTCAAAGCCTGCCTACTGAGTAAAGCAGATTTTGAAAACTAAGACAATCACACCAGAAAAAAAAACCTCTGGGTCCTTAGTGACACCAGTGAGTGGCCTAATTAAACATGTTCTGCCTTTGCCTTATGTTTAAAACATCTTGAGTCAGAGTTTCTATTAGATGTCACAGAAGCATCCTGCTAGGATGTGAGAACCCATGAGTGCTACTCCTTAGGGCTCTCCTTAATAAATAAACAAGTGGTATTCAAGATGTAAGACATTTTATCCTGGCTATATGTGGGACAAGTTTAGAAGATTAAATGAGCCTTCTATTCATTGATTGCCAGAAAGTGTTTATGAAATGTCCATCTGGGCCTAAACCTCATCATGAAATCAGCACCCGGGAGAAACGCATAAGAATCAAATCAGTGCGTAAATGTATAGTGTTTGCAGGAAGAGGTATTACTAATTCCTTGGCCCTGCTCAGAGCGTAAATCGGACTATCAGTTCTTACATGCTTTCATTTAAAGTTTATACCATTTAGGAAAATGTTGTTTTCAAAATTCAAGTCAAGTACCTCATTTAAAAACTTTTAAAACCTTTATCCCTGTCATCCAGGTGCTAAGCCTAACCGCAAACAGGGTGGAAGGAACAAAAATGTAGCCCTCAATGCTTCCAACTGATTTTCTTCTGCATCTTGAACAAACCTTAAATTGCAGTCATGTCTTCTAAAAAATTTCAAAGACAGTTTCTCTGACCAAATGAATGAGCTATAGCATGAGCAGTCCAGTAAGTGCCACAATCACAGTCAATGACAGTTGGCAAGGGAGATAGAGATAGTAGCTGAATCCTATTGTCTTGTAGGAGTTTGGTAGCAGAAGGTAAATAAGAACATTATTATCTGGTTTCTGTTTCAAAGCAAAACAGGAATACAGGGAGATAGGAAAGAAGGGAGGGAAGATGGGAGAAAGGAAGGAAAGAAGGAAGAAAGGACCATAAAAAAATCCAAGAAAAAAAAACTATGCTAGAATAGAATGCTATGTAAAAGAGGTTTGTCAAGGTGGCTGTAGAGCTTAGTAGCTAAAAGCATGGAATCTGGAGCCAGGTTGCCTGCATTCAAATGTTAGCTCTAGCTATGTCCTTGGATAAATTGCTTGATTTTCCTGTGCCTCAGTTTCCTCTACTATAAAAAGCAGGTGTGATGGGGCTGGTGAGATGGCTCAGTGGTCTAAAGCACCTACTTAGAACAAGTTAAGCTAAGGGACTGTGGTTCAATCCCCCAGCACCACATGCCGGCCAGCCCCGCCCCCTGGTGGGCTGAGCTGGCCACACACACACACACAAAATAAATTTTTAAAAAAAGCAGGTGTGAAAGGTAAAAATAGTGGTTACTTT